TTGTATTTAGTTTATAATATAACTCAATAACCTTAATAAGCAATACCAGTGTAACTAGTCAGTGTAAAAAATACATTAAACCTCCAAGGTACAATTATAATAGTTTATATAAAATAATTTTTCTGTAAATAATTTAGTATGTTTTATATACAATATAGTACGATGTGGTACTTATACAATAAATATTTTAATCAATATAAAATGTTATTTTTACTTTCGGATATCATATAGAATTGAAGAAAAAAATATTTTCTTCAAAATTTCTGAAATGTTTCGGTATGTCCTTCATTCTGTTAAATTACATCATAGGATTTTAAAGAAAAATATTTAATTACAGACGTAACCTTACAAACCTGGATAGAGAGCATCAGATAGTAAAGTTGTCACAGCCATCACATCTAAAACAAAAAATACAACAAAAGCACTTATACGAGAGGATGTTTGATGTTTGTTGATGTTTTATAGGTGGTAGAGCCACGCTGCAGCTATATTATGGTTGTAGACGAATGGGTTGGCTCGACCGGAGCAGGACCACGCTCTCACAGAATACCGGCGTAAAATATCAGCTTAATGCTGCTGTGTTTCGTATGGTGAGTGTTGGGAACCGGAGACCCATTTAAATGGAGTTGAGGCACTCGATCTTAGTCCTCAGGGTTGAAAACGCATCTGCATTTTGATTCCTAATGTAGATGTCTTTGGGCCACAGCATCCACTTACTACACTACGTATTTTGTTCATTTGTAAAATAACAAAGACCAAACTCAAAATACTTCGTTGGGTCACCAAAAGATTGTGGGTTAATGAAGATAAATATTCACGTTATATACTTATTCAACTCCACGAACTGATTCTTAGAAGGTGACGGTTCTGTTAAGAACCGTCAACCACGTTACAATGCGGAAGATTTTTAAATGTGACAGGGGCAAGTCTCAGCTTCATCATAGTCGTAGCACGAACGGATCGCCTCGACCGGAGAAATACCACGTTCTCACAGAATACCATCGTAAAATAGCAGCTTGATGCTGCTGTGTATTGTATGGTGAGGATAGAAACCACGTTTTACTGGAAACAAGGCATCTCCTTTTAATTAAAATAAAAGCGAAAATTTCGTTTCTTAAGAAAATTATATAACATATCGACTCTGACATCGTTTCGCAATTGTTAACGTCTTAACTTAGAGATGTTTTTATTTAATCAAAATACTTGAAATCATTGCTCTTCACTAAAAATTAAGAAATATAAACAAAGAACGGAAAAATATCAAGCATAATTTGCTCTGTCTAATTTTTCAATCCGTCAAAAAACAAAAGATGTTAACGTCTCGCTTAAAACACGATTATATCTTTGCTTGATTTCTGATTCCAACAAATACATGTTTCTAATTTAGATAAATTCGTGTTGACCATTCCTTTATTACAAGGGACTATATTTCTAAAAGTTTCCCATTTTATTGCAAAACTGTTTGTCCGAGGCCAATCCGCCAAAACATACAAAGTAAACAACAATCAAATTACGTTTAGGCCACTGACCAATAAAGAACAGTCGACGAAAAACTGCATACAAATTAAGTGACGCCAGAATAAAGTTAAAACCATGCTCAACTTATAGTAAGAACACGCATTTACGCACAAATATACAACTTACAATATGGTCTTAGGTGCATTTGTATACATCCTTCAGTGGACATTTAGCGGGCTGTAAGAGAACAAGGAAAATGTGTGCATAAATGCTTGTCAAGAAGTTGAGCGTGGTTTCGGCGCTCTTTTAAATGTACACAGCATTTCGTCTATTATTGATGAGGTTAAGTTACAAATATTTATAGCAATTATTTGTCAAATCAACCAGTTACTCGTAAAATGCTCGATCGAACTCATATTGAAATCTTTCATATCACTTTAGTTTTAATATATAAATTAAAAACGACCCATTCTAAAATTTTTATTTAACTTGGAATTAATATACACTGCTGCCGCTATAGTTGAAACCAATTTGTATAGTAAAAATAATAAGAGAATTATATTGAATTAAGATGGAGCCAAATAAACACAATCGCTAATATCAATGAAAGTTATTTCGTTAGAAATAAGAAATTAAGTTTCCAGTAAAAATATATAATATAATAAATATAAAATTAACCTGATTTCAAGCTTAAAAAACCAGGATTTTCAAACTTCTTACTCCGATAAACGATTTTAAAAATGATAGTCCAATGTTAGCACTACATTTGTAATCCTTTAATACTTACTGCGCAGTTGAGATTTTCCGACAGTATTCGGAAGTAGTCACCGTGTTCGAAATTGACAGAGTAATATAATACACCACGCAGTGGTTATGACAAAACGAATATTTTTTTAATTATATAATAGGATTAGTTATTGTGAATTGTGAAATAACTTTAATAAAAATCTACATTGAAAAAAAATCACAAATGAATCAAATCATTGAGGATTCATCGATTATTACTCGTTAAATATTTGTGATTCAGGTCTAATACAATCACATACTCCATTATCTGTACGCTGAAACGGCATTTGTGGTCGTTTCTCTCTTAATTTCTTTTTTATGTTCGATATTTGTGTTTCTAACAGATGTTTCTTCGTCCTTAAATTGACGACCTGAATAGAAAAAAAATGATATAAGTATTAATAACTTAGTTTCTTAGAAGGTTATTAAAGGAGGATGATACTAGGTATATAAATGATTTATAACTAACTAACTAGCTGCAGCAGCAGAAGAAATAATTGTGGAAATATCGTTTTAAATTTGGAAGAGTTATATTGTTCAATTAGGAGTGATAATACACTCATTGAAATGGAATGATTATAACTTTCAAATACATTTGCCGGTACGATATTCGCGCCACCTACTGTAAGCTAATTGTATTATGCCTATAACGTTTGCGCAAGTTGAAGCAGTAAGTTGACAAAGTCTTACCGCAATCTGATGAACGGTATGGCAGTTCACAAAATACGAACAAATAAACATTAATTTTTATATATCAGAAGATTGCTACCTACTTGACCGACTTTATGAAAGTATGTGACAAAACATCCCGAATGCTAGTTAACCGATTTTGGTTATATTCTAGTAGTCTATACAACATATTTTCACAGTGCTCCCCACTGCATTTTGTATTATATATTTAAGTAGAATTTCAACCCCTTAATCCCCATAAAAATCCCATGCAGTAGCATGCGTCTGGCAAATCTCGAGCGGTGCGACCGCACCCACTCACAGCATTTTAAACCATTAAAACTTATATTCAGAGACTACTTTTCTATGAAGAAGTTTGGCATTATAAAATCTATACAAAATTTTCTACCGTGTGGTCTAAATAAAAGTCAGGTTTAACTTCATTACAAAAATGTTTTATTGTATTTTGATTACAAAAAAATACATACCAAGAGGATGTCAGCAGCGCAAAAATAACAATTATTTCGAATAAATATTTTTTTTAAATAAAATATGTTAAATGTTTTCCGATTATTTAACCTCTCAAACGGCAAGCGTTTAAATTTGACCGCTTCGATATTCCGTCAAAATTCAAGAGGTCAAATGTGACCACACCCACCCACAGCACTTACTTATGTTTAGGGACTACTTTTCTATGAAAATGTTTGGTATTATAGAATCAACATGATATTTTCTATCTTCTATTGGATTGAATAAAACTCTTATTTACGGATTTTATCGCGTTTAATTACTTTAATTTATTTTTATTATTATCCCGACGTTTCGGGTGCTTTACAGCGCCCATGGTCACGGGGGGGGGGGACTGAGATGTTTGACGTCCCAATGTCATAGTTAGTCCGGCTACCTTCAGTTTTTTAATATTAATTTTTGGTCCGATTTACGCAAAACGAGCTTATAGTATCATGAAGTCTTGCAGTGGTATGCTTGGGTTTGGGTTTAATTTTGTTAATTATAGGATCCCAAGCAGATGGTAGCACCCAACCATCTTCTCTATTGAAATTTGGATGTTTTTTAATTTCAATAGCCTCGCGTATCATCCTTGGTAGGAATCGGTGTTCTTTTGCGAGAATTTGTGGTTTATCAAATCTAATGTAATGGTGGGGACGATCTTGAACATGTTCGCAGACTGCAGACTTCCCGGAGCGTCGGTGCTTCACATCAGCTATATGTACCTTCACGCGGGTTTTTATAGATCTCTTTGTTTGACCTATGTAAGAGAGACCACATTCACAATCTAGCTTGTACACACCTGCGTCTTGTAGAGGAATATTACATTTGATGGATGGTAAAAATTGACTAATCTTCTTCAGCGGCTTGTTGTCTTAATGGACGCTCGCTTCAAGATGTAGCCAATCTTGTCGGTGACTCCTCTAATTTCTATTGGAATTCTATTGGAATCAAAATTCACTTAGTTTATGGATATATAGGGGGAGTACGGGAGTGTTTACCCGCCCTCCACTAAAATGTCAATTTTTTTTCTATTTCTCCATATTGCTCTTCCGTGATAATTGTGTCTCAAGCTGCATTTTTAGGCTATCTTTTCTTCTAATAACATATAACTTTATTTTTTAAGTTATTCACGATTTTTCTCAAAAATAAATTTGGCTAATTTCTCCCGCCTGAGTGGGAGAGTTTACCCCTCCAATGGAGAGACATTACCCGGGTTTTAAAAAAGCGAAATAATATTAAAAAAACATTATTTTATACAAAATTATTATTATTTAATTTAAGGCACTTATACTAAGTACTTAATATAATTAGAACATTGGGAACTTTGAGTATTATTGGGGTAGCTTTCTAAGAATTAATTTATTATCACACTTTTTTTCAGTTGTTACATAAAAACTATGACCATAAAAGTATTCAAAATCTTTAAAGTATAGCTGTACCATCAATCACAATAATTTTTTGCAAAATATAAAAATATTCTTCTGTCAATGTTTAATTAATCCACATTTTAGGTTACTTAGTTACCTAAGTATACAACTATCTTATGAATTCTATCTTTGAAGCCAACGAAACGAAAATTAAAATATGCTTAACATAGATTTGGGGTAAGGTTGAATAATTTTAGGCAATATATTTTTTGGCTTATGCGATTTTTCATTTGCCAAAGGCTGTTGGGAAACTGTTAATAGTGAAGCAGCTGAAGATGCCTCCTGCTTTTGAAGTTCAGCAGGTATTTCCCTATCAGTTGAAGATGCCTCTTGTCTTTGAAGTTCAGCAGGCATTTCCCTATCAGTTGAAGATGTCTCCTGATTTTGAAGTTCAGCAGATATTTCCCTATCAGTCGAAGATGCCTCCTGCTTTTGAAGTTCAGCAGGTATTTCCCTATCAGTCGAAGATGCCTCCTGCTTTTGAAGTTCAGCAGGTATTTCCCTATCAGTTGAAGATGCCTCCTGCTTTTGAAGTTCAGCAGGTATTTCCCTATCAGTTGATGATGCCTCCTGCTTTTGAAGTTCAGCAGGTATTTCCCTGTCAGTTGAAGATCCCCCCTGCTTTTAAAGTTCAGCAGGCATTTCCCTATCAGTTGAAGATGCCTCCTGCTTTTGAAGTTCAGCAGGTATTTCCCTATCAGTTGAAGATGCCTCCTGCTCTTGACGTTCAGTAGGTACCTTATTCCAAAGCAGCGCCTCTAATAGATTTTCATTTATCGATATCGTCTAATGCATTTTTTGACAGATATATCTAAATTACTCCTGTTTATTGATGAATCTTTCTTTTTATATTTAAAGGGCATTTTGATCGTTATTTATCTGAAAAAAAAAAACTGTACATATTTTATTTATTTAATAGGAATCAGCAAAGCCATCATCAAAAAATAAATTAAATAAAACTTCAAAAAAATTGCGGGAGAGACTACCCTGGGTAAAGCCTCCTCCCAAAGCGTGGCTAATATCTCCCACCCTACGCCAATCTTTTTGTAAACAATTTAAAAAAAATCTATGCCACGTTTGTGAAAGCTATCTACTATATGAGTCACTTAGATAAATACACTTTTCATTTTTATACGTGAATTGTTCGAAACTTTATGTATAAAATAATAACAGTCCAATATCTAAAATTTAAAAGAATCACTTACCGTAGCCGAAACCACGTTTTCACTTCGCACTTGTAAACCACACTTCCAAATGCAATGGCGTCGCGGGGGAAGGGCGAGGGCGGCTTGTCGCTATGGAGAAGTGTGTCATTTTCTTTTTTTTTTCTTTTTTAAAAAACGTTACCCCTACACTAGGATTTTCTCCTGTATCGTGGGGGCAGTTTACAAACATAAATTGCATAAGGACAAACATCCAGACCCGGAACAATTATTTGTAGGCCATACAAATACTTGTTCCGTGCGGGATTCGAACCCCCAGCGCAGCCACTCATTCGCCACGGAGTCGTCAACATCTGAATACACAATCTCGCAAAGATTTTATGAGCAGTGGCTATTGTCTCCCCTCTGGTAAACTCTCCCGGACTCCCCCTACCTATTTATAATCCACGTTCATTTCGTACGCCATTTTCGTGTGAATGTCATTGTGTTGATTTTTGGATTTTTCTAGTGTTTTAGTATAGTTTTTTTATTATAAAATTGTAACTGTTACGGCTTGAATGTTTCGCAATGTGTTTCGTGGGTGGTTTTGGGAACCAGAGAACAACCAGACCAAGGGCTGGCTAACCTGATGATCCCAACCGGGAAGTAACGAAAATAGCTTTAGAACTGGGTAGATAAGATAAGGATACTCACAAGACTGGAGCACTCATCGTTGTTATGGTGAAGTCTGTATATTCAGGCTGAAGTTCTCGTGTATACACAGATACCACACTGCACTTCGAATGTATATGGACACGAGCAATAGCACGATAGTCTTACAACTTATTTATTGGTTATTTTTAAACAAGCGCTAACGAACACGTTTTATGCGTGCGCGGCCATCTTGCTTCTTTTTTTTCTCGACGATAGGTGGCGCACCATTCTGAGCAGTGCGTATACGGGGGAGGCGGGAGGATAGGAAACACTTAGGAAAAGGATGTTATATCGGGACTGTTCCGAAGCCACAACATTCCCTCCCACCTGAAATCACCCAGGGATTTCACAAGACAACCATCGACCCGGCAGCTCCAGGTCCCAGTTGCTCATAGAATATAAATTAATATAAACTAAATAGATATCTGAGCTAAGTTGTGCATTGATAACCTTAACTAAACTACAAAAGAAAATCAAACTTAGTTAATTTCATTTTAAAATTAGAACTTACAATCTAGCTTAATAAAACAATAAAAATAAGATTCAATCAAGAGGAAGAGGGCAGACTTTGACTACTGGTCTTGTAAGTAGGCCTCTTTTGGTCTTTAAGGTCACAACCCGGATAATATTGTCCTTTCCGGGGTGGATTTGGACTACTCGACCTAGGCGCCATTCGTTAGGTGGTAGATTAGGTTCAATGATTGAAACGAGTTGACCAATATTAGGATGTTTGTGATCATCCTTAAACCACTTAACCTTTTGTTGAAGCGTATGTAAATAATCACTTTGCCAAATACGCCAAAAACTTTGAGAAAGCTTTTGAAGTAACTGCCAGCGTGTTCTAGGATTCATATCTTCAACGGACGGTTCTGGTAGAGCTACTAAAGGACGTCCTATAATAAAATGACCGGCCGTGAGAACATCAACTTCGCCAGGATCAGACGATAACTGACAAATCGGTCTTGAGTTCAGCATCGCTTCAACTTTAGTTAAAACTGTAGTTAGTTCTTCAAACGTCAGGACTTGTGAGCCTATGACCCTCTTGAGATAATATTTAGTAGATTTTATACCACTTTCAAAAATGCCTCCAAAGTGAGGTGCTGAAGGTGGATTTAATTTCCACGAGATTCCACGAGACGTTAATGGATCAGAAATATCCTGTTTTTTATCTATCAATAATTTAACCATTTCCTCAAGATATCGTTTAGCGCCTACAAAGTTAGTGCCACAATCTGTCACAATATGTTGACATATTCCACGTCGAGACACGAATCTGTCTAGGGCGGCTAGAAACGCTTCTGTAGACAGTTCAGATACGAGTTCTAAATGAACTGCTTTCACAGATAAACAAATGAACAAGCATATGTAAGCCTTACTGACCCGTGCGTTACGTCGTCTGTTTTCTTTTATAAGAAAAGGACCGCCAAAATCAATCCCTACCTGTTGAAAACAGTGACCTTGTTGAGATCTACAAGGTGGCAGGTTGCCCATAGACGGCTGATAGGGTATAGGTTTAACCCGAAAGCAAGTCACACACTTTGTTAAAACAGAACGAATAAGATTTCGAATTCCTAAAATCCAGAACTTGCGAACAATTAGTGATTGTAACGTGCGAGGTCCACAGTGCAAATACCGTTTATGATAATAGCTAATAATTAATTGAGATAAAATAGATTGTTTCGGTAACAAATATGGATGTTTTGTGTGCTCAGGTAAGTTGAAATTGGTAAGTCGTCCACCCACTCGCATGAGTCCTAGGTTATCAATAAACGGAGACAACTTTTGTAAGTATTTAGGTAGAGGCTTCTGCGATTTTAATTTAGACATCTCTTGATTGAAGCTGCCCCGTTGGACATATTTAATAAGGCTAAGTAGAGAGCACTTTACCTCATTCGTAGTCAAGTGACCTTTCTCGCGTTGGCTTGGTTCTTTGCGCGAATTAGAAATGAAGCGAAAGACCCATGCCAATATTCGCTGTAGTCGCGATAAGGATGAATACCGATTTAATAACACCTTCATAAGGTCTTTATCAGATTCCCGAGATTGAGCAATCAGAGTACGTGTTCTCAACTCTGGCAACTCATCCTGGGACTTACACCGAATTTGAGCTGGCCAGTGATCTGGACTACTAAGCATCCAATCTGGTCCTGACCACCATCGCTTACAATTGACCAATTCTGCACACGAGAGACCTCGGCTAGGAAAGTCAGCAGGATTGTCCTGAGTCGAGACATGCCTCCAGGTAGAAGGTTCAACTGCGTCAGTTATTTTAACTACTCGATGCGCAACAAAAGGTTTCAATTTGTATGGCTCTGTATTGATCCAAGCTAATACAGTTGAGCTATCAGTGTAGGCAACAATATGAGATATATTTATTTTCGAAATAAGTAAAGTTTGCATGTGTTTGAGAGTACGTGATAACAAGAGCGCACCGCACAACTCCAAACGATTAACTGTTAGAGGCTTAATCGGAGCCACTTTAGATTTAGAAATCAAAAGAGAAACTTGTTTTTGATCATCGATACTTGATCGGAGATAGACACAGCACCCATATGCTTTGGTTGATCCATCGCAAAACCCAATCAGCTGGTGTGTAGCTGTTAAATCAATCACGGTTTTACGAGGGATTTTTATCGATTTTATATTAGACAAGTCAGACACAAATGAAACCCAATCGTCACACAGATTGGCGGGAATGATTTCATCCCAAGACAATCCAATACGCCATAAGTTTTGAAGAAGTAGTTTGGCTAAAAGAATAAAAGGTGAAAGCCAACCCAACGGATCATAAATACGAGCAACGTGGGACAGGATTGAACGTTTCGTAAACTCCACATTCACAGGAGAGACGGAGTAAGTGAAATAGTCTTCCGCAGGATCCCATTGAACTCCTAAAACCTTAAGCGTTATTGAACTATCATCAGAAAATGTCTTTGGACACTGACAATGTTCCATGGGTAACGATCGAAGAAATAAAGGGCTGTTACTGCTCCACTTACGCAAATCTAGCTGAGCACAATTAAGAAGATTGATTAAATCTTCTTTAAGCTGAGAGGCTGCTTCGACTGAGGAAGCACCTGTAGTAATATCGTCCATGTAAGTATGATGCCGAAGAGCTTCAGCTGCATGAGGAAACTGATCACCGTGATCTGCAGCTAACTGATGTAATGTTCGTATCGCTAAGTACGGCGAACTTTTGACTCCGTATGTGACAGTACGAAGTTCAAATTCTTGAACAGGCAAGGAAGGGGATTCACGCCATAGTACGTGTTGCCACACTCGATCCTCAGGCCTTATCAAGATTTGCCTGTACATCTTAGATATGTCACATGTAAAAACTATATTATGGACCCGAAATCCAGTAATAATGTCAACCAAATCAGCCTGTAACTTCGGTCCAGTGTAAACAATATCATTTAAAGATAGCCCATTAGTCGTCTTGTGACTCGCATTGAATACAACGCGAAGTTTGGTCGTTATGCTTTCTGGACGAATCACACAATGGTGAGGAATGAAATATCTACCAGGGGTGGTGTCCTTTCCCACTGGTTGCATATGATTAAGCTGCTCATAATCACGCATAAAATCGTTATAAAGTGATTTAAGATCTGGTTGTCGGCAAAGTTTTTTCTCAAGATTTATAAACTGCGACAAAGAACTATTATATGAGCCTCCCATATAGACAGACGACTGCGTCAATAAGATAGGGACTACATATCGACCGTCCGATTCCCTATAAGTTTGAGTGGAATACAGGCGTTC